CGCCCCCGCCCCCAGCACCCTGATCAGGACAGGGGCTGGAGGATCTGCCCAGCACAGTCTCTAAACCCAGGCTGGGGGCTCTCCCCGGGGAGCTCTTGGGAGGGGAGGATCTCTGGCAAGGTCAGCATCCCCACCCCCACACCCCCGTGACTCCTCTGGAGGCCTCCCAGTGGGTCTGGAATATGTGCCCAGTGCTTGGTGTGCAGCTGCGTGAGTGTGAGCGGACTTGTGAGCTTGCCCACATGTGTCCCTGTGTGTTTGTGCATGTGCCGGGCGACAGTATGTTCGTGTTTTGATGAGTGTGTAACCAAGAGCCTGTGACTTGTGAGCCTGGGGGCCTGGGTCCGCGTGCTTGTGAACATCACCTACGTGTGGCCCTACACATGTGTGCGAGAGTCTGTGGTTTATGCGTCGGCGTGACCAAGGCCCTGACCCCGTCTGCCCGTGTGTGAGGGGGTGTCTGTGTGTTTACCAGCGCGTTCGTACGTTCAGGTGTGCACGTGGCTCTGCACGTGCCCCTGTGTGGACAGACGGGTGGGCGCATGGTGAGGGAGGCCCAGGGTTTCACAACTGTGTCCGCGGGCCTCTCTGCGAGCCCATGCCCGAGCCCGTGACGCTCCCGACTAGTTCTGTGACCCGCGTGCGCCCGCCAGCGTGTGCCCGCGGTGGTGGGGGTCCGCCTGGCAGCGTGCGCGTGCTACGGGCTGGGGTCTGCGGCTGTCCGGCTTCTCAGCCGTGTGTTCCTGCGTGCGTCCGCGGCGCGAGCGTGTTCTTCGTCCCCAGAGCGTGCGTTTGTGTTTTCCGGGCCGTGTGAACCATGGCGTGCGTGCTCGGGACCTTGGCGCTGAGTGTTCTGCTGCTTCTGTGCGTGTTTCTGTATTCGGAGCGCGTGCTGGCGTCTGCCTGGGGTCTGCGGCCCAGCCCCGGCTCGGTCCCTGCCACTTGTCCGAAGCGGGCCCGTGTGTGCGCGCCCGCGGGCCGTCCTGTGTCCCGAACGTGTGCCCACCGTGCGCGGGGTACCTGTGCCCGTCTAGCCAAGAGCGCTCCGTGCGCGCGAGCGGCTTTCCGGGACGCCGCAGTGGTGGGGGGCGGCCCCGCGAGGGGCGGGGG